TTTAAAAATTGTCTACCTCTGGGTGTAATAAGTCTAGATCCCCAGAAGGTGTGTTTGGCATTATAATCTCCAGCTGCAATGAATCTACTACCAATTTTTTGCTCTGCCCACCAAAGTTTCTCTAGTGAGCGGAACATCTAGACCTTCTTCCTTTAATATTGACAAAAGACTTCCCAAACATTTCTTTGAAGGATTCGCTTCCATGCACCACTTTTTTAGTTTATCCCCCAATGTTAATTTCGAGACTTCCATTCCATTTTCCGCGAAATCATTCATGAAATCTCTACCGTTTTCCACAAATTCACTACCACTATTTTCTTTTTCACATTGCAAACTTCTTTTTTATACACTTTTTTTTATTGTTGCAAAATGGTCAGGCTTTATCCCTTTATTGTTGTTTTTATAAAAACAACGTTTGTTTATTAGTGGAGAACGATGGTAATAAACAAACGTTGTTTTTATAAAAACAACAATAAAGGGATAAATCTCTCTGGCAACTCTGCTCGATTGAAAGTGTTTATTTTCTGTGTCTTCGTCTAACGAAATAAAAATTCAATTTTTTGTGTGTTTAAAGCGTCATAAAAGTGTTAAATTGTGATATTTAATTTAACACTATTTATCTTTTTTCCAAAAGTGTGAAGTTTTTGTGAATAAAGTGTTTTTTCCTGCTTAATAAGTTTATTTAAAATTTTCCGCGTAAAACATCAGTGTTTTGTTTTATTGTGCTTTTACATTTTTGTTTTATTTTCGTCGTGTGTTTTGTTTGTGTTGACGTTTGTAGCTGATTCCCCTTTAGCAGTTCTGTACGTAATAATAGATTTTTAGCATACTTTTAGGCACTAATAATATATTGATTATTACACCGTGTTCACATTACACAGTTTACCTTCTTATTTCATATAAAAAATTATTTAACTGGTATTTTCATCTGATTTGTTATTTTACATAATGGCTTGCTCTTTCAAAGACTGTTCAGTTAGAGACATCAATGAGCGTCTTATTTCTTGTTTTATTTGCGATAATTTTATGCATCTTAAATGTGCTGGTTTTAATGGTAGACAGTATGATTTTATTACTGACAAGACTAAAGGTCTTCGTTGGTCTTGTTTTGATTGTAGAGATCTTCAAGTTGATTATCATTGCCTTTTTAAAGAAACTAAGGCTGAACTCGATAAGTTAAAAAAAAGCTTTAATTTAACTTTTAAAAAATTTGAAAAAATTGAAAAATTGGTTAACAGGTTTGAATTATCTGATGGTTCACCAAAGAGGAAAAAACCTTCAGGTGTTGTTAGCAATATCGAAACAAACAATTTGGGTCTCGATAATTTAATCACCTTAAATTCTCCGACTTCGCCAAATCCTCCTCCTAATAGTAATAAACCAGTTTCTCATGATAATCGTAAAGACTCGGGTATTACTACCAACGCTACAACCTCAATCTCGAATTGTACGACTTCCAAAAGAGCTTTTTCTAACCCACCTGCAATTTTGGTGCAAGTTCCTCCAAACCCTTCGGCTGCTGTAAATGCTGATGATCCTTCAACTTCTAACCAGCTTGTTGTTGTTGCACGTCGCAAAACAGTTTTTATATCCAGACTTCATCCTGAAACATCTATCATTAATATCCGTAATTATATGAAATCTAAGTTACGTGACGTTAGCGATAATGATTTAAATATCTTTAAATTTAACTCGTCTCAGGAGCGCGACATCTCGTCGTTTAAAATAACAGTTCCTAATAGACTTTTTAACACTGTTGTTAGTAGTTCGTTTTGGCCCGATGATATTTTGGTAAAATAATTTGTTTTTAGAGAACGCTCCAATGTAGATAAGTCTGTAAACATCGTAACTGCGCCAAAAAACTAAATGACGTCTGTCCGATTCTTTATCAAAATGTAAGAGGATTAAACACTAAGCTTAGAGATGTTTTCCTTAAAAGTTTCTTTTCTGAATATAAAATAATTGCTTTCACTGAAACGTGGTTAAAACCTGATGTCCTGGACACTGAGTTATTCTCTGATAATTATCAAGCTTCGGTTTCATTTGCATATTGATTCTTGCGTTAATAAAGCGAAATCTATACTAGGATTCATCAAGCGCTGGTCTAAAGAGTTTGATGATCCTTACGTAACTAAAAGATTATTTGTTAGCTTAGTGCGTCCAGTATTAGAATATGGCTGTATATTGTGGAGTCCATTTTATAAATTTTACTCTGATAAAATTGAATCTGTACAAATTCAGTTTTTAATTTTCGCTTTACGTGGTTTAAACTGGAACGTTTCCGAACCTCTTCCTCCTTATGAGAGTCGGTTATTGTTAATTGACCTTCCATCACTTGAAAGAAGACGTCTTATGTTAAGAGCACTATTTATCATTAAATTAGTACGCGGTTTCATTGATTCTCCATTTCTTATAGGTGAAATATACCATAATGTTCCTTCTCGCAGAACTCGTAATTTTGAACCCTTAAAATTATCGTTTGCGAGAACTAACTATGAGCTTAACGACCCTATGAGGTCACTTTGTGTTATTTATAACAGTTTATTTAACACTATTTGCTTAAGTAATCCATTAAATACAATAAAGAACTATATTCTACATATGTAATTTTGTTTGTTTAATGAGTACTTCGTGAATTGTTTCATGTCTTTGTCTTAATTTTCCAAACTCATTTTACGGCATCTTATCTACATCTCCCCAAGCGGAACTAGTAGAACTCGCCTTTGAGTAATAGTTTTAAACAGTAGATTGAAATTCTGTTATAAATTGCTAAGCTGCTTGATCATCTGGCACTTGATCTACATTTCCCTTTGCGGTACAGTAGACACAGCCAATGAGCAGCAATTTTTAAAATCTGTACCTTGTTAACTTTGTTTACTAATCTGTGTGTGTCTGTTATTTTTTGTTATTTTATTTACTGGCTGATGAAGTTTCTGTAGCCGGTGCGAAACCATTGCTAACCCGCCTTAGTCCGGACTTTGGTGTGTACGCGCTCTCTACGTATAGGGAGGTGGCCCCCTCGGTCGGCAGGGGCGGGTGTGAGAGGCGTGGGAACGAACGAAAAAAAAAAAAAAAAAAAAAAAAAAGCCTGACAATTTTGCAACAACAAAATACTACGGTATCCCGAACAAACAAGCCACAATGTTCCACTATTTTTTATAGTAATCTTTAATAATTTCTTTTACTCATTTTTTTATATTTAATAAACAATCACCTTTATAACAATGAGACACCCAAAACGAATTAATTGCCGAAAAAACGCGTTGTTTCGATGCGATCTTCAAAAAAATTAAATAAAAATATATATATATATCTTCAATATGTTTTAATGACAATAAAAGAAAAGCGAACTGTCGACATTGTCATTAGAAATACACTACACTCAGTGTCCCTAAACTCTACTCGTAAATTTTTGACATCTGAACTAGTTTGAACATTTGTCTATAGAAATAAAGTGGTAACATAAAATACACATGGTTCTTTGCTCGCAGAAGGGAAAATATAGTTTAAAACAAGTAAGCAAAGGCTACAGTCGAGCTGGGCCGACCGTTGAATACCCTACAACACTATAATAAACCATACAGTTTATATAGGCGAAGTACTCGACAGAATTCCACAAGATATTGTGACAAATAATTAAAGAAAACCATCAGGTTTCGTTCTCTAATTTTCGAAAAAAAACAACTTAAACTAATTTGCTCATTTCCAATTTATTGGTAGGTGTTGCACTTAAATGGTCTTCCTAGATCTGGAACCAATATTTCCCAAAGACCTATAATCCCTCAGAAGTGGCAAAAGATTAACATTTATTATTGGTTTTTGACTGAAACGCATCTATATGAGATACAGACATTTGACTATATTCTTCAACGAAGAATGGCCATTAGAAACTGCTTGGCTTTTGCAATGTGCGGTAACCCCCATTCAAATGTGCGTGAGGATCGGGCGATAATTACGACCTGCCGACAATTTTGCAGTTTTTTTGGTCCATTTCAACCCCTAAATATACGGCGATCATCTCCAAAAAGAGTAGGCTTCTATTCTGACCCTCATCTTATCCCCATGCAAAATTTCGTAAGGATCGGGCCATAAATGCGATCTGTATATGATATCCCAACTACTTAGTTTTGTTGGCTGTAGAAATATTACCAAATGTTTAATTCAAAATGAAAATATGCCAAAAATATGACAAAATTGAAAAAATATGAGAAAATTTTACAAAATCAATATTTTCATCTGTAGAGAGATATTTTTATGCGATTTTTTAGACGTTTTTTCTTTCCTGCCAAGAGACCATTCTGAATAAATGAGAACTGTCGAAATCAGTTCAGCCGTTCTCGACATATAAGAGATCTTTCAAGCATATCTTCTTTGATAGACATATATATCGCACATATTTTGCTATATATCCGATTTGTTGGATGTTAACATCAATGTAAAGATCAGAAGTAACCTTGTCATGGCTTTATGATTTCGCCGGGATTTAAAATATTCGCGGTTTAATGAAAAAATGTTGAATTTTTTCAACACAAAAGATAAGGTCTATTTTACCCGCTAAATATTATCCGATGACCACCCAAATTGGTAGGCATTTTCCCCTCCCTAAACTCCAGCTACATGCGAAATTCCGCGTCGATTGGTCTATAACTGCGACCTGTATAGCTACTGCAAAATCCGTATTTCAGTATTTGGTCCATTTCAACCCCTAAACATTTGGTGATCATCTCCAAAAGCAATATGGTTCTATTCTGGTCCAAGCCCCACCTACATTCTAAATTTCGTGAAGATCGGACCATAATTGCGACCTGTAGAGTGATTACAAATTAACATGGACAGACGGACGGACGGACATACATAGCTAGATCGACTCAGCTCGGCGAGCTAGGAAGATCCATATATACTTTCCTATAAGGGGAAATCAATATTTCGAGGTGTTACATAAATTCTGGCCCAATCAAACTTATAATACCCCCAACACATAGTGTTGTAGGGTATAATAATTTTTTATATGTATGTACACGTACACATTTATTGGAATTCATTCTAAAACAACGAGTTGTTAATTCAAATATGTATACCGTATAGTTATGTATATTAAATTAAATTAAATAAAATATATATATGGTAATTATTAAGGGGAATAATTAAAATAACACACCAAAATTACAAAATTATAATTTATGTGTTCAAACAATTCACGATGACAAACTTTCTTAAAAATTCTCATTTTTAATTAAATTTGGTAAAAATTAACGGTTCCTAATTAGCATATTATATACAGATTACTTCATTATGATATTTTAATTTCATATGATTATCTCTTCTGTTATAAAAAATTAACGTAGGTATTTTATAATAAATAATATTATGTCAGTATGATTACTTGTGCTCTTGTTGGCGATCTTGCATCATTTTTAAGAGTACTTGATTCCCAGATCCTCCTCTGCCTCGTTTTCTGTCTACTTCATTCGTTGTATCACTTAAGTCAAATGGAAGATTCCTTTTGCCCTTGCTACTTGTAAAAGCGTTCATTTTTTCGAGATCCTTAAAGATAGATGCATTTGAGAAGTGGCATAATTAGACGTTTTTTTAACGTGTTACCTTTGGGGAACTGCGACAAAACTCAAACGTGAATTGATTTGGTGATGCCGTATACTTATCTGATTCATTCTTGTCCATAGAGTGCACATAGAAGTTATGATTACTAGAAAGTTGTCGTGGAATAGTCTGTTTTTCAGTTGGGTGTGGTGATAGTAGAAGATCGCTATCCTAAAAATAAAAAATAATCGGTTATACACATATTACATTTTAAATCAACAAACATACAGATCTTTCCGGGTCCTTTCTAAAATTCCAGGCATATGGTGTCATCTTTTGCATATAAATTTCATTATAAAATTTAATAATATCTCCAACAGCTACTTAAAAAATAATTTTAGAAAATGCTAAAGTAGTAATTTATCATTCAAACAACAAAATCTTACTTTTTTCTCCATTATCTGTTTTAATTAAGACTTCTCTATATATACTGCTGGTAGCCTGTGGCTGCTTTCTGTAAAATTTCATAATATCTCTGAACAATTTTCCATTGACTTCACCGACCTGCAAAAGAAAGAAAAAATAAGGCTACGAAAAACCATTATAAATCTTCTTACCTTTATATATAAATATATTGCACACATGAAAATTTGATCTAAATGTCTATCCTGCATTAACTCAGTTTTTTGGGTTATTGAATATTCAAATAGTGTCCATATTTTTTGTATCATTTCTTCACCTAGATCCAATTCCTTGCACAGTTCCTTTATACGCAACCAAGCTAGTTTATAGAACTGAAATGATTATTGATTCAACTTAGTTTTATATAATTGTTCCTCTATTAAATATATACCTTTCTAAGAAATAGTTTCAGCGGCTTTGATCGTTTAGGAACATTTAACCTATCCACGTCATTTGTTCTATTACCTGATGTTGTCTCTGCAATTTGAGGGTTTCGTTATATGTTTAAAATAAATAAATTTATTTTTCTATTTTATTACCTTTTGGGGTATTGAAGAGGTCCCTTCTGACAGATTCATTAACTATAGGTGTAGTAGAAGCGCTAAATGTATCAAATGCAGAGTTCATTGGTGATTGCACTAAATAGAAAGCAAAATATTATAAAAAATATATAAAATATTCTACTACTACGTACATTGCGGCTCATTGCTGTCTATATGTCCAACTTTAACTTCTGACCATGTCGGTAAGGGTATTGGTTCCTTCTTTATTAACTCCCATAGTGGAGAATTTTTCTTCCAAGCCAAAGACTCAAGACATGTTTCTTCGATTAAATTCAAATGCTTTATAAGTTCTCGATTGAGAATATTGTCGTGACTTCGCACTATGATCTCAATCAACTTGCAAAATTCGAAGGCATTAATTCCGAAACATTCCAGTATCCATGGAAATTTTAGTGGTGAATCGTATGCATCCAGAACGATTTCGACACTACATGCAATAAGTGTTGTATTAAAGCTATCCCTTTGGAATAGGATATTGAGATCGATAGGCTTTTGTCGGACTTCGAAGTGTAGTATTTTGTCAAGCAAATAGTAATACAATGACTTTGCCAATTGAAATTTGTTGACGGACTCTTCTTTATTGGGAAATTTGTTGTGGAAAAGTTTTGCCATGTAGTTCACTTTGTCTTGAATCTTCTTCAAAACTTCTTCATTTGTCGATTTTCTAAAAAAAAAAAAAAAATAATTTCGTGTACATACATGTTAAGCTGTTGAAACTGAAGAAATGTTGCCAGGTTACGGCAGCTTAATAAATATTTCTTAAAGCTTACCGTATAAATTCAGATGGCTCCGTAATGTGGGAAATTTCGCGTAGCTTCTTAACATTATTCGTTGCATTTGCCACAGGATCGAAAACACCATCCTTACTAGGAAGACTCTCCTTACGAGTGTACGGAGTATTTGGCATAAGAGACTTCATTTCCTAAAATCCATTTATATTAAAAACTAATTCGATTATTTATATATTGGATTATTCCTACCGGATGTAAATCAATTTTTAGTCCAGATGAATCATCTATTTAAAAAATAAAATGAGTAATTTAATTTTGTCATTAAATATTGGTCAACTCACGAGTACTGTTAATTTTGCGATAGTCCAACAAAATTCTTTCATCCAATTCTGCCATGTTTAAAACATATTGTTCATAAGCTCCTTTCAGTGACCTCAAATTCCTTTCAAAATATGCATTAGAGATTAAAGTGTCTTCAGTACCGTACAATGTCTGAATTAAAATATAAATACATGAGTAAACTATCAGATCTCCAATTAAAAAAATTGTACAAACATTGGCTTTCAAGAACGTTTTTATAATCCCTTTAAATGTCTCCTTCATATTTTTCGCATCTAGCGGGGACGCATTCGACATATTGCAAATAGGCTCAATAATGCAATAGTCCTTCAAGATTCTAATATCGAAATCAGGTTTGCCCCACTTTGGCGGTACACCCACAAATTTTGGGTTGATGAGATCGGGATTTTCGTTCAACACATTTCTATAGATCAAGTCTATACACCAGATCAATAAATGGAAAGACATGACTATGTCCGTTACTTTGTTTTGATTTTTAGCACAAAGATACAGGCACCAACATATCTCAAAGAGTTTTCCATAAGGACATTTTGCGGACCTGTAATCAGATAGAAGATTGAAATGATATGACTAAAGCTATGTAATTCAAAACTGTACCTGAATTTGCAATTTTTCTTTTCATTTGGAGGAGGTAGGAATAGCTGCTCGAAAATATCTGCATATCGAATAAAAACATTTGATGTCATGCTATAGCTACGTTCCATTTTATTAATCTGGTTTAAAAACGATTCGGGAAGTCTTGCCATTTCGTGCCATTTTCTCATTTTGGATGTAAATTCATGAATGCTGCAAATACGTAGTGTGTTCTTTTATATCATACAACTTACTTATAAATGTTGCCATATAACCTACCTCATATTGCAACTACGCAACAACTTAATGACAGATATACAGTTGCCCAAGACAACGTCATTGGTTCCACCTACGGTAGGGGTATACGAACCACGGCTAGCAGCATATAACGCACAACAAAGCCAATGAAAAACTTCTCCCTGCAAATTACCAATTATTTCGTGTAATTTTCAAAATAATTGTACCAATACCTCCAGCGAGAATCTCTTGGAGATTTCTACAAATATACTCCAAGATAATTCCTCAGTCTCTCTATCCATATTAAGCTCCCTGCATAATTCTTCATGTTTGCATCGTATCGAATCTGTTGAGCCATCTTCTCGAGATTGGGTCATGGTGTAGTTCCTATGTTTATGGGTCGTTCTGCTTTATTTACTTTATACACTTGTACTCTATTCCGAATACAATGATGAGTAACACGTCACATTTACAACATATAGTGATTACCCTAATCCCATATAGCCTCAAACACCTGGGAGAATTTATTTTACTATACAATAGCTAACACTTCTTATTGGTCCAAAATGCACAAATATTTTACACCACGAAAAAAAAAAAAAACAAATGTCACAAAGAAAAAGGCGCGACTTTAGGGATCTGTAAATTATTTTTCATCGATAAAGATATCAACTAGAAATATCGGTCTATTGAACTCAATCTTATTTGTGGTACACACTAGGTAACACGTAAAAAAATCATAATAGTGCGTTATATCATTGGTCTGTTCCGGAACTGCAAGAATATAAAAGATTTTATTACGATAAACGACGGCAAAAATTTTACATTCTTGTAGTGTGTGGAACAGAGCATATATTGATGAAAATTTAGATTTTAATCATGGTAGAATAATACAGGTAACAGCAAGTGTTGTTGTCAATCGTAACAACAACCACATACAAATTTGTTTTTGTACGTAATACAAGTGTCAGAGTTATATGTCCAAAAATGTAAACAAAATAATAAATTTTCTATAAATTGCTTTAATTTGAAAAATATACATTTTTAGAATTTGGAGTATTACATTTAAAATGCAGAAGCATAGTTCCTTAATTATTTAATTTGAATGCTTTCATATCATTCCCCTGAATGTATAGCTCTTAGCTGTAGTTCCTAATCTCTCAACTCTACAAGCAATCGATAGAGAATAGTGGAAAAGGCAACACTAGTTGTGTTCCAGAACCTACAAATTAGTACTAATTCTGCTACATCGCGTTCGCGTACTCCGAAAACTAGCAAAACTTGCAGCTCTCTCGGGAAAAAATGGCGCTGAGTGGTGCACATTTCTACTTGTTTTAGCTACATGAATTTGGCCGAGCAGAAATGTGCATATTGTAAATTTGACATTTAATCGGTAGGGCTAACAAGGTTGAAAAATGTATTGATACATTTCAATATTCGCGCGTCACAACAAAAATAAAGAAAATGATCAACTTAAAAACTAAAGGAAAAACTAACATTTGTCGTGCAAAAAACAAGAAGAGAAAATATGGAGCACCTGATGTATTCACTATTGGATGATTCCAGCAGGGAAGAGGACTGGCTGAAAGAGGAATCAGATTATTAATTATTATTATAGATTATTAATTTTAACTTATCTTCTTCAATACTCATTTTTTAAATGTTGGCCTCCTTTTCAATAAGGTTTTGCCAGTCCGATTTAGACTGTTTACTGAATTTTGACATTTTATCGCATTTCTGCTAATTTTCCGTTCCCTTATTTTTTTAGCACCTAAATGAGAATGACATTCTGCTAGTTTTACTACTAAAAAAGTACTGGAACGAAACTATTTTCAAATTGAAACCAAACTGCATACATGCATAAATTATTCTACATTTTGTAATTTTAGGAAACATGAAATATACGACTATGTTGACTAATGTTGTGTCGCTTATTTTTTACCGGGAAAAAAGTTTTCGCACTATCGCCGTTGGAGTTCTGTTGAGTACAACGAAGTTTTTTTTTTCTATTTTAGGTAATAAATATGTTCGCATTGCGCTGCAGTGAAATTTTATATTAAAAAAGGGTGTACCTATTGCATATCAAAAAATAGAATTTAATCACAAAACATCATATCGAGCATGACACTAGTATTGCTATAGAATCAAATCACCTGGGACTTGCTGTTACCTGTAATAGTTATACCATGGATTTTAATAAAAAACTTGATCACTCAAAGTCTGCAAGTGTCTGGCAAAGTTAAGGAGTTTGTTTGTATTTCCTGCAAAAAATGCGAAGGCTAATTTTAACCAAATATATAGGCCGGTTATAACATCTTTCCGATGGATAAAAAATGATGTTGTCGGACACAAAATAGTTTTTCGTTATTACAAGTTTTATTTAAGTATGAACTGTCCGATATGCAAAAGGCCAGACCATGGTACAATAAAGAGGTAAGGTAAGCTACCAGCTGATTACAATTTGTTTCTAAGTGTGCCCGACTTCTGCAAATTTTGTGAGTGTATTTATTGTTTTGAAAAATAAAAACAAAATATTTTCAAAATCAAGGATTGGAAGACGGGTACATTGCGGGACGCCCATTGAAGCTATTCGCCTTTTTGCCATGTAATTCAAAGATAGAACCATTTAGATTATATTTTTGAAAGAAAAACCAGGCATTTCATTCATTTTTCGCGCTGTTTAACTGATTTTAAAAATGAGGAAAAATATTGAATTAATGATAACTTGTTTGCATGCAAATTTTACAGAAACCGGGCATAGCCTCAGGGCTTTATTTCTATAGTTTTACAAAGCTGTTCTACCTCCTTATTGTACCATGGGTCAGACCATCTACCATGGTAGAAGAATACAGGTAGATGCATCAACGCTTGGAAACACTGATATGTCAAAAAATTTGAATGTTTTTTTCTTTCAAATATAAGTAGATTTCTATATGTTTTCTTATACGATGTCATTCGGAGGTTATTATAATTCGCGTTTTCAACAATTTTTACAAATTTAAATAATTTTTCATTCAACAGTTCATTGTCCCAACAGCAGTGTCGATGCGTTTTCCTATATTTTTCTACCATCCCATCTTCCCTTTATATTTTAAAGTAAAGTTTACTGGATACATGTTGTTATATATATCAATATAAATAATATGGAATCACAGCAAAATAAAAATTGATAGCGCAAATCGTTTATTTAATATTGAAGAACTGAATTTTAGATTTATTTAACGAAATTAATTACAAATTAATTTTCCTATACGGCGCAGATCATAGGTTGTTATGGTAGGTATTTTACCATGATAGAAGAATATAGGTATTCGCATTGCCAAAGCTGTTTGGACAATGAACTGTCAAACCAATTTTGGTACTGAAATTTTTGAATGAAAAATTGTTCAAATTGTTTAAAAATACATATAATAACAATACATATATATATATATATATATATATATATATATATATATATATATATATATATATATATATATATATATATATATATATATATATATATATATATATATATATATATATATGTATATATATATATATATATATATATATGTATTGTTATTATATGTATTTTTAAACAATTTGAACAATTTTTCATTCAAAAATTTCAGTACCAAAATTGGTTTGACAGTTCATTGTCCAAACAGCTTTGGCAATGCGAATACCTATATTCTTCAATCATGGTAAAATACCTACCATAACAACCTATGATCTGCGCCGTATAGGAAAACACACACAAATATTCAAGAAAATTTTTTTCAAGACAATTTGTTTTCAGCCGTTTTGTTTCTTATATTTTCTTTTACTGTCATTATTTATATTTTTGTGTAAAAATAAAAACACAATCTGTGTAAAAATAAAAACACAATACGATCTTTAAGGGCATTATCTTGATTTATGTGCTTAATTATACCAAATTTACGATGATTTTCCATACAAAGTTAAATCAACTCAAAACTAGGATTTGTTTTAAATCGAAATATTTTGTAATACAGCACAGCGTTTTTCTCCTAAAAATTCTACAATTGTAGTCTGTGCCAAAATGGGCAACAGTTTTCGTGTATCGCCTAAATTGTAAACTATGGCTTACTTCTTACATCTTTTTCATTATAAGTTATTATCATATCCAGTTTTCTTATCAGATACTTTAGAAAAAGTAAAGTAATATTACAACTTTTCATTAAAATAAATGATTTCTTTTACAGAAATATAGAAAGCTTTTAGGTAAATTTTTTCACAATGGTATCTCATTTTAGTTTAAAAATAATAAAACGAATTTGTAATTAATTTCGTTAAATAAATCTAAAATTCAGTTCTTCAATATTAAATAAACGATTTGCGCTATCAATTTTTATTTTGCTGTGATTCCATATTATTTATATTGATATATATAACAACATGTATCCAGTAAACTTTACTTTAAAATATAAAGGGAAGATGGGATGGTAGAAAAATATAGGAAAACGCATCGACACTGCTGTTGGGACAATGAACTGTTGAATGAAAAATTATTTAAATTTGTAAAAATTGTTGAAAACGCGAATTATAATAACCTCCGAATGACATCGTATAAGAAAACATATAGAAATCTACTTATATTTGAAAGAAAAAAACATTCAAATTTTTTAACATATCAGTGTTTCCAAGCGTTGATGCATCTACCTGTATTCTTCTACCATGGTAGATGGTCTGACCCATGGTACAATAAGGAGGTAGAACAGCTTTGTAAAACTATAGAAATAAAGCCCTGAGGCTATGCCCGGTTTCTGTAAAATTTGCATGCAAACAAGTTATCATTAATTCAATATTTTTCCTCATTTTTAAAATCAGTTAAACAGCGCGAAAAATGAATGAAATGCCTGGTTTTTCTTTCAAAAATATAATCTAAATGGTTCTATCTTTGAATTACATGGCAAAAAGGCGAATAGCTTCAATGGGCGTCCCGCAATGTACCCGTCTTCCAATCCTTGATTTTGAAAATATTTTGTTTTTATTTTTCAAAACAATAAATACACTCACAAAATTTGCAGAAGTCGGGCACACTTAGAAACAAATTGTAATCAGCTGGTAGCTTACCTTACCTCTTTATTGTACCATGGTCTGGCCTTTTGCATATCGGACAGTTCATACTTAAATAAAACTTGTAATAACGAAAAACTATTTTGTGTCCGACAACATCATTTTTTATCCATCGGAAAGATGTTATAACCGGCCTATATATTTGGTTAAAATTAGCCTTCGCATTTTTTGCAGGAAATACAAACAAACTCCTTAACTTTGCCAGACACTTGCAGACTTTGAGTGATCAAGTTTTTTATTAAAATCCATGGTATAACTATTACAGGTAACAGCAAGTCCCAGCTGATTTGATTCTATAGCAATACTAGTGTCATGCTCGATATGATGTTTTGTGATTAAATTCTATTTTTTGATATGCAATAGGTACACCCTTTTTTAATATAAAATTTCACTGCAGCGCAATGCGAACATATTTATTACCTAAAATAGAAAAAAAAACTTCGTTGTACTCAACAGAACTCCAACGGCGATAGTGCGAAAACTTTTTTCCCGGTAAAAAATAAGCGACACAACATTAGTCAACATAGTCGTATATTTCAT